CCCCAAAACCCCAAAACCCCAAAACCCCTTGTTTATGGCAAAAAATTGAAAATAGGATCATGGGATGGGTTATGGGAGAGAGAAAGTTTCGTCACTATGGAGTTCCAAGTTAATTCATTTCTGGATGTTCTTCTCTATTTTGTCCAGCAATAAGTAGGGATCTTTGACAACATTGGTGTCTGCTGATATTCCCATCTTAAAGTAGTCGACATGGCTGACCATTGAGACTCCTACTCCAATCTTACTCATTCATGGAGTGAAGAAGAGCAACTCATTTGCTCTGCTCCCTAGCACTGTAAGATCCTCTTTGAATCCAGGAACATTCGAAAAAGCTAGAGTTCATTTACCTGCAGTATAATCCATCAGTGGTTTTGTGATAAACAAAGGAAGGAACCTGATGATAAGCTGTTGAATAAACATTGTCGTAAGTGGCTTAATGGAGCTTTTAGCTTTCTTCATCAATCTGTTGACTCTCTTAATTTCATCTTCAAGAGTTTGACCCATCTTAAAATCAAGTAAAACAAGAGTAAAGTTATTCTGCAGCTTAACATCGCTCGGCTTTCTTACCTTCTTTGTTCTAAGATTGACAGGAACCATAGCAGTTAATGTTTTTGAATGATCTATATCTTTTTGGTCTGCCAAATATTCAGCCAATCCTCTACTTAAAGCTCCAGCAGCAAGGTCATTCATAGAAACTCCTAGATCTCTAGAAGATCTCTTCATATCTTCAAGGGAGAATCTTTTTCCTATAGCGAATTGTCTTTCTCCACTTAAGGGAACATTTGTTATTGAGGATCTATCTCTTCTTTTACACAAGATAGGAATCAGATAATAGAATATGAACAAAGGAGATATAAGGTAAAGAAACATTTGTTTGAGCCAACTGGTTGGTCTGAAGTCAATGATTGCTTCTGGCTTGAATTCATCAACAATCAATAAGATAATCTCAAGAATCCCAAGACCATCTGCCATTACATGATGCTCTTTAAATAAAAGAGCAGATTGAGTTTCACTGTAGTTCTCATAAAGCCACATTCTCCATTGCGGAGTCGAAAGAGGAATCGGATCGTTGATTGTTTTAGAAAGAAAGTCTCCAAGGTCTTTTTCTGTGTGTAGATGGTGTTCATTCTCGTCAAGAATTTCAAGGCATTTTTCAATTTCTTCTCTTGGAAGCTCTTTCATAAAGTTATGACCTAAAAATCTTGTGATGCAGCACCTCAACCTGACACAATTCCCCACAAGTCTTTCAAGAATGGCATTTCTGATAGCCTTAGCATCGTTCTTATCAAAAGTGACATATCAAACTGGCTGACACTTATTCACTTTCGAATCAAGGAGCCATGCTTCATCCAAAGCACTCAAAGGATGAAGCCCAAGGCAATAGGCTGCACAAAGATAGATCAAAATCCTAATCCAGAGCAAGAACACCAGAGAATATGCGAATCCTCACAGCCATATAATCAGCGCCCAGACGATTATTCTCATCCAGAACCATGCTCAGTTGACAAACATTTTTAATATTATAATATTAGCCTATTTGAATTTGTAAGTGAGGGGTTTTGGGGTTTTGGGGTTTTGGGGTTTTGGGGTTTTGGGGTTTTGGGG